AATTTCCAAGGTGTGTTCTAAGGAAAACCCCTCAACCAAAACATTCGAACACCGCAAACCTCATCAGACACTCGAAGCTAGTCATGTAGAGGAATGTTGTGGGTTTTCAAAGCAAGCGAGAGCTGATTTTCTTACTTTGTTGCTGTGCACTTTATTGCCTGTGGTTCTACAATACTGCACGGAAAGTTTGAGAACTTTAATTGTTGCATTTTTTTCTAAACTTAAGCGAATGTAAAGTTGGAATATATTGATAAACGCTTTGCTTTGTTGCGCCTGAATTTAGTTTTGTTGCCTCAGTACAATTTGTTGATCTAACTTGTAGAAATTAAGCTTTAATTCTAACTTATAAACATTTATTTACACAGAAAAGTTTAAGCTCTGAACTGTTTCATTTCGAACTTGTACGGCTGAATTATTCCAATATTACAACTTGCTAGTGCAGTTTCAGTGTAGCGCAGTAGCCGAGTTGTAGGTGAGCTGGAGTGCTGGAGCTGCAGTGAGTGGGGGGGGATGTACGGAAACAGGGGCAGGAACTTCATATATCTGAACATTCTAGCGGAGTACAGTTAAATCTAAACCATTTCAAGGCAGGACAGGATGGCTTTCATGGAGAAAACTTCTAAATATGTAACTTCAATATACAGAGATGAGTTCTTTAGAGTTAAACCAAGAACGTGAGAGGAACTTTAAGTTGTAACTCCAAGAGAAAAAGTAGAATATGTAGAATATCTGTTGCCTGACTTTATTATGTGTTAAAAATAGTTAAATACTTAAATAATGCAACACAATAAATATAAGAGATTAGTACCAGCAGATAATGTTTCCAGCAATCGGTCATTGGACCCAGAAACCCTGTCTGGAGCATCCTCCTTAAAGTTTTCCAAAAAGACAAACTGATGAACCTGGTAGCATTCCAAGCTGATTACAAACCGAATTTCATCATTATAAAAAAAGCTCACAAGTCTATTCCAGTGCTCCATTTTGTGACCTGCAATAAAAACCTCCAGTCTTCTAATACAATAAAAACTTCAACAGAAACACCGTCTCTCTCACTGGGGCTTCGTCTCCTCCGTTGCTTCCCTCTAAATCCATTTTTTAACTTCAACTCCGGCACAAATGAGCCACAACTGAAATTATCCTAAAATCACGACTTATTTGGCAGCACTGACGAGAAAATAAGCAGCGTTAAATTAGACCTCACAAGCTTTGATTTTACAAGATATACATAAAAACAAAACAACCATCTTTACTTCGATGAATAAATGCCCGTCAAAGCTGACCAAGCATTTGAAATACTAACCTCAAATTTTCCTCAATGTGGGCTCATTTTTCACTGTAATATAAAGTCCTACACCTCTATGGAAACAAAACAACCATGACTAGAAGTAGAGAGAACTCAGAAATGCCTTCCGTCTAGTAGGATACCATTTTAATGGCATTAATCATAAAAAGAGAGGGAAAAAGAAGTTCAATTTCTTTGATTACTAATGTTGTAAAAATCAAAATATACATGGAATCAACACGGTCAACACTTTTTGAAAGTTTTTGAACAGGACACATTGAAAGTTTCTTAAAAAGCTCAATTTTAAGCTTAAATATGAGGAATTTTCCAGAAATAACTGAAAGTCACACATGACAATTTCAAGAGTCTTAGGAAAGTGTAAAATCAGGTGGTTTTTTCTGCTTTTACAGTTTCTTACTCTGATAAATAATCTAATTTTGGTGATTTGAATAAATAAATGTGCATTATAGACTCATTGGTAGGTTTTGGGGTTCAGAGGGTTAACAGCTGTTCAGCAACCTGCACCAACGTTAAATATATTCACAGCACACACTGCTTCCCTCCAGCGGCTCCCTGTTGGGGTCTAAGCTTTTATTTAAACTTTTAATAACAGCTCCCCTTATGACACATGATGTACTTTACAAACTAATCACACTATTGCATCATTGTAAACAGTAAAAACGTCTGCAGTGCACCTGTTTTCACTCGCTGCAATAAAAGAAAAAGTTGGCCGCGGGTTTCAAAACTGAGCAATACCCCCTACATATAATCACAAAGCAGCTTGGGAAGTGCACAGACCGTACACGCTCATCACTTCATACCTATAATTACAGTAAATTCGTGGCATAGAATTAATTTCTGCAATGGCAATAAAAAAATGAACAAAAAAGAGCGTGATGTCTGTGTTTCCAATCCAGACTAACAGAGACCAGTTCAGTGTGGCTGCTGTACTAAAAACGTCCGTACGGCTGCTAACATGACAGCGATGGTGCAAGTCTGCAAGAAGGTGGAGTGTCAGTTTATACTCGGTTACCAGTTTATTAGGTACACCTGGCTGAAACGCATGCAGGCTTGCCTTTCAAATAAATCTTATCTCATGAGTTTTACTGCGCAGTCTTTGTTGAAGTGCAATCCTCTGAGCCCAAAGACCCACCAGTAGATTAAGGCGTTACATCTTTTTTGTAAAAATCACCATTTATTAGAGCCAGAGATTAAAAAAAACTGAAAGAATTGTTGGACTTTCACTTTTTAGATGGTCCTTGGACGTCTCATCTTTGACGTGCCTGCCTGTCAGAAAAATGTACCAAAACTTAGATTAAAGTTGTGATATTTCATCAAAATTACTTTATTCTACATGTCTTGTGTAAAAATTCGCCAAATATGAACCAGATTCTGCAAAAAAACTAAAACAGTTAGCGGCCGAAGACGTTAGGGTCTTCGCTGCCAGTGAGGAGCAGCATTGGCAGCGAAGACGACGGTAGAGAAACAGCATCGGCGCTTGTTGTGAAATATTTTCCCACTACATATCGTCGAACACAAAGTAACGGCCCAATTTGCAGAATAATTTTTTCAGGCAGCAGCGTAATGTCATAGTGCTGCCGAGAACCCTGCTAAGTCACTCTTTCTTCCAGTATTCGGAACTCCTGTGGACACGTGGGAAAATGTTGGACATCTTGATTGCACGATTTTTATTCTTTTGTAAAATAAGCCATCTAAAACTTCAACTTTGGTTTCTTTTTGTACAGATTTCTGGCGGTACAACTACTTTCTATTGCACAGAAGACATTTCTGAGTTCTCTCTGCTTCTAGTCATGATTGTGCTTTTCCACAGAGGTGCAGGACTTTATACTGCAGTGCAAAATGAACTGACAGTGGGTAAAAATAATGACAGAAACAAAAGACAGGTTGGTGTTCAAGTTTTTTCCCAACGACACTTGAAAGAACACTTGAACTGGATCCACTTACATGCAAACTAAATTCACTAACAACACTCCAGACTGATGCTAAGCCGCGCCACATCACTGTTCACTGGGCTGAAGGATTTCACAAAACAGAAAAACAAACTTGTTGACGCTGTTGTCAACAAATCCAAAGGATTGCTGCAATCACCTCAGGTCTCCACAGCGGGAACCCCGGCAACCCCGGCACTGGTTATATCAGACCCCGTGTGTGGTTCCATGTCTCCTTCTCTGCAGAGTGAATTATGAAGCGGCATGCAAGCGAAAACCACATAAAAATGTTGATTTGTTCACCTTCAGGGGAAAAGGTTCAACCGTGCGCATAACTAGAATTTTTGTCCAACCAACAAAAACGACACATGATTTGTGAAAAGACAGCATCTCCCATTAACCTGCATTCTGTGTGCGACTACGCCGCGGCTTTTCACCGCGAGTACTGACGGAGCAATTGTTGCCAAGAGGCCCCTGAGCAAGGCACAAGACAACCAATCCATCACTCACAGGAGGCTGCGCTGCTCAGCTCCCAGGTGTGAATAAAGGTTACACCAGGCAGGACCGTACAGGAGGAGAAAGTGAATTCCTCGTCAAAATTCCCAACTACGTTTAACCCTTTGAACCTCTGACCTTAAAAGGCATGCCATCTTTATTCTTCATTTTTTGTTAATGCCAAAATACCATTTATCAATGAACAACTGTAAGAACAGTCAGTGAAGTCCAACTTTCAAACAGAAAACTTCTCCAAATCCAAGATTAAAAATTTGGTCAAAATCATTTTTTTTTCTATGTCTCATTTTAAAATTTGTCAAAGTTTGGATTAACTAATTTGGGTAAAAAAAAAATTAAAGTGAAAAATTAAGGTAGCGCAACTGTGAGCCCATTCGTGACTTGGCTCCTTCAATCACGATGCAAAAATCTTTTCGGCTGAGCTGCAGGCAGTGTTTTCTCAGTAAATAAGAGAAAAGTATGGAAACAAAATAAAAATGTAAGTGGTAAAAACTCTGTGTGTGTGTGTGTGTGTGTGTGTGTGTGTGTGTGTGTGTGGAGTCGCCATTTTTTCAGTATTGCAAAAATGTTGTACATCTCGATTCCAAAATCCAGGTTGTGCTGTTTCCATCAACGTGCAGGACTTTATATTGCAGTGAAAAATGAGGCCACAGTGAGTCAAAATGTATTTCAAGAGTAAATTTCCACATATATTTAACCATCAACTTGTCTACTTTTGACTGAGAGCAGATATGTAATGATGTGACGTCTACTTAAGAATTTATGAGTGATTAATCAAAACCATGTCTGATCATGAATTTCAAGCAAAGCTACTTAGTGCTGAAGCGTATGAGGAATACACATTTACTTAGTGTTGAAAGGGTTAACAGTTAAACTGAAGCCTAAAGCAAAAGATTTCCAGATCTTTTTTGGCTTTATTATTACAAATGAGTGACTAATTGCCAAGTTTTCTATAAATTCTCACCACAAAATCAGGTCACTCACACTTGAATAAATAAAAAATATTAAAGAAGTGAAGGGAAAAAGGTTTAAATTTTGAAGCAAATCACACCATCTGTTGAATTAATTTCATCTTTATCTTGAGAGCACCTGGGACTGGTGCGATATAAGCTCCTATCACACTTGCAAAATACTCCTTTCTAAAAGAATCCCAGAAATCTTTGTGTTGGAGCTACAACTAAAAGTTCCAGTGCAGCAACATTTCCTAAAAATACAGAAAGTGCAGCCCACTCTTTCCCATCAGCGCTGGATCTTACCTGGCCGTGTGCTGTAAAGGACCTTGTAGCTTTCAAACTCTCCTTTTGGTTCTTTCCAAGACACATGCAGCTTGGTGGGGCTCAGCACTTTGGCGCGAAACCTCCGTGGTGATGAAACTGGACGGAGAAACAAGAAAATGAAGTGAATTACACACCAACCGTCAGTGTGACACATACTGTAAATATCTGCATGATGAGTGAATGAATAAACAGCCTTTGGCATGCACAATCCAGACCTACAATATTTTTTCTCTTTATGTTGGAAAAACGCTGCCATCATTGATGTATATTAGTGGATTATAACCATAAGAGTGGACAGAGTTCAATTTTGTTGTTGTGGTTGGCAATAAACTGCTTCATTTTACAATTTTGCAGGGCTGTAGTCATCAAGTGGACTGATCGACTGGCTCCTCTCATTCAGCGGTGCTACTTTCATTTGGAGAAAAGCTTTAACAGATTTATCCACGATTTACTAGAGAGCCGCTGCTCCTCCACATCGAAAGGAGCCAGTTGAGGTGGCTCGGGCATCTTTTCCGGATGCCTCCTGGACGCCTCCCTGGGGAGGTGTTCAGGGCGCGTCCCACCGGGAGGAGACCTTGGGGAAGACCCAGGACACGCTGGAGGGACTATGTCTCCCAGTTGGCCTGGGAACGCCTAGGGGTCTCCCCGGAAGAGCTGGAGGAGGTGTGTGCGGATCGGGAAGTCTGGGCGGCTTTGCTAAGGCTGCTGCCTCCGCGACCAGACTCCAGATAAGCGGGAGAAGATGGATGGATGGATGGATCCACAATTTCTGGTGATGGGAGGAACAGTCTACCTATGAACACCCCCGTGTTTTCTCAACTTTGAACTGGCCCAATCTAACAATGACTGCTAGATGCAACTTATTTGCCATTTACTGAATGATTACCTAGTTTTAGGTAGTTTGGAACCGACTCCACGTCAAGGAAGTCATCGACTTGGCTGCATTTTATGGCTAAAAAGTCAAATTTGCAACCAACATGGCAGATCATCAAAAACAGCAGGTAGCTTGTCTGCATCAATAGTTCTTGTGCTGCAATTATCAGTTGATGTTGTTCAGAAATCACATGTTGGCAGGTGCATACTGGTCTGCTCCGAGTCTACTGTTCTAGTGTAAAACAACCAGGTTCAAATTATTCAATACGCTGCACATGCAAGGGTTGATCAAAAAGTTCTGAGACTGTTCATGACGCACATCATGGTCACTCACATCCATCAGGTGCAAGCACCAACAGTCAGGAGTCCCATGACATCCCGCTGTCTGCATCAGGACCTGTGTTACAGATGTTTTATGACCACTGGTAGGTGCGCACTTGTGATTTCTCCATAGAGCTCAAACGAGTGCAAAGAGCAAGATCCAACAATCATGTGGAGGATCATCACTGGTGATAAGGAGTGAGTCTGCAGCTACAACCAGGAGAAGAAACAGCAGCTTTTAAAGAGTCAAAGAGTTTCCAAAACCAGACGAAGATTAGGTCAGGATCCAGGAGCTCCATGGTTGTTGTTTTCTTCGGAATTTACATGGTAGATTTGACCTCATGACTTCCTTCTCTTCCTCAAAATGAAACCCAAAGTCACTGTTTAGACATAATTTAGGAGATCCAGAGCTTATCGCAGATGGTGTACGACATGTTAACAGGACTTCGGGGGAGTTTTGCAGGAGCACTGGGAACAGAGCATCACTGCACAAGTTGACCTCTTTGAAGGGGACAAATTTAAATCCGGTACAGGTTTTGATATTTACATACGGAATCTCTGATATTTTTGATCAACACTTGCTTTCTATGTTTAGATTAATTTAGGCTAATAAGGTCACCAGGTACAGTGCCTACTTAAGCTACATATAAAGGATAGATTGTTTTTTTTACTCGTGACTAATCGATTGATACCATTTCAGTCCACCTAGATATTCTTTGGTTCACTACAGCCCTTGATTTTTGGAAGCAGAATATCAAACTTCCCAAATTATATGTTAATGCCGACATGTTGCTACTGTAAGCGACACAAAGGTCTCTGAATCCTTCAGTAGTCGCATACAGCATCGCTGCTCGGGATGCTTTACAAAACTGCAGGTTTCACGGAGTCCGCTCTCCTTCTATTTTACTCATCCGCCGAGCAGCGACACACAACTGTGACCGAGTTAAGTTAGAATGAACTCCCTCCAGAGTTATGGCGGCGTCGAGGCTCCATCTGTGGTTCTAAACAGTTAGGAAAGGAGGGGGAAAATAAATAAATAAATAAAAGGAGGATAAATTGTATCTCATCCAAGCGGAGGATACACATCAGAGTGATTAGCTTGCACAGATGTCATGTTAAAAAAAATGAAAAAAAACAAATCCCCAAAAGTCCCATTCTCCTCCTCTTCCTCATCCTCATCTTCCTCAGACACTGACTCTGTGGGGTGCAACAGGTCTTCTTCTGCGCTCTCCTTACCGGCTGCATCAAAGCGACGCCCCTGCCTCTCAGCCTGATTAGTTGTTGGCCCTGTCAGCCGCCTGGAGGCCTACAACCGCCACCTCCCTCCCCTTATTTTCCTCTTGCCCCGCTGTATTCGTTTTCTCCAACGTTCTCCACATATCTGATCCCTCCCTGTTCTCATCTCATTTTCTTTCCTTTCATTTTTTTTTTATCCCTGCGTCGCTGTGCTTTGAAATTCGTCAGGGGTGAGGAGAGGATAACAAAAAGGAGTGAATGTGACTTTCTTTTAACTGTAGAGAGAGAGCGAGAGAAAAAAAAAAAAAGAACAAAGGGCACCAAAGGGAAAGGCACTGGAATAGCATCTCGGTACTATTCCTCTCCTGTCCTCGGCAGGAGTATTTAGATGTACAATGAGCTGCACAGTATCCAAACAAGCTTTACAATGGCCTCGACCTGTGCGTAACCCCCTTTTCGAAAAGGCAACAACACTTTTTTTTCCCAAGTACAATCACATTTCCCTACATTCGCTCAAAGCATTGTTGCGTTTTCACACAGACTTGGGTTAAAACACCAGACTAAGGTCATTGTAAAGCACTGCAATGGCGGAAACCGCATTTCCAGGGTCAACAACCACAACACCCTATCATTTTCACACCAGCAGAGCCAAATCCCAGATAATAAATATGTATCTCGCAGCAACACATTCCCCAGTTTACTTTGGTTAACTATGAAAAAAAAAGAAAAAGAAAAAGCCAGGGGGTGGAAAATAAGATATGAAACCCACAAACTCGTTTGTGTGTTTGTGTCCTCGTTATGAGGTGAGCCATCTGCTGCTGCCGCTGCTGCTCTTTAAATACCTACACGGTGATTGACGCCTGGCGTAGCTCTGATGCTCTGGAGCGCAATAAACAAGAGGCTTATAAGAATGGTTCACCCAAAACAAGGAAAATGAGAAAAACAAATTGACTTGAGAAAATGCACCTTTTATTGCTGTTTGGGACAAAATGCACACGTGCTGTCTCTCCAGGGATGTTTAAACATTTTGGTGAAGCTAAACAGACAGCTTTGTTGGAAGAAATTTGAAGAGAAAGTGACCTGATTCATCCACTTCCTTGCATCTTTATCCCCAATCCAGGATTTAGTCAAACTGATGAAGACGCATCATGTGAAACCCTCTGCTGCGTTTTGAGTGAACTGCCTCTTTCATGCAGGTGATTATCTGCAGAAAACTACTCATGTAGGTATGCAAAGAAACTTGAGTTCAGCACAGGAAGGATAATCCTGAGTGTGAAGCCGGCGCATTCAACAGCAGGCAAATATATTTATACACAAACAGACATAAGGAATACTGTACCAATTATCTCACCAACCTGGGGATGAGAATGAGGGCCGGATGGGGATTTCGGCTCAGGGTTTAGCTCTCTGCTTCGGGAAACAAAGGACGCTCTCTTGTCTTGTGAGAGAGCTGCTCAAATCCCGAATGATTCGAGAAGCAGATTTCGCACCTCTCTGTTTGTAGTGCGCTTGAACCGTGTTCCTGTGTGAGCGCATCCACGTCGGCACGCGTGTGCATGAATTATGCATGTTTGTCCGCAGCAAGCGTATCCCGAATATTCGCATATAAAAAAATAAAAAAAAACAAACAAAAAAAAATCTCGTTGCACTTTTTCTCACGCCTCGTAAGAAACCTGCCATTTCCTTTGCAGCACACACACACACACACACACAAACACACTCGCTCACAGGAAGCCGTGGATCTTCTCTGGGAGATTGTGTTCTCACGCAGAGACAAGTATTGGATGGTGAGCAAACAGCCTGGCGAAGACAAAAGGCCTCGCAAAGTCGAGATAGAAAACTTAATTCTCATCTATTTTTCATGGAGACTCTTGTGCAGGCAGCCGAATGCTGCCGAGGGTTGCGGAGACGTCTGTCACACCCACCGCGAATTTTGTGGGGCGAGTCAGAAGTTTGGGAGTGCATTTTAAATCAGCGGCGGCGTCGTGGCGAAGAGGCGACGCCGAGCCGAGCGCATGTGCGAGTGAGAGTCTCAGAGGCAGAAAGTTTTTTTCCCCCCCGACTCAAAGTCACTTTTAGTTTGCAAACACGTCTTTAATGCTGTTATTGCCGCGAGCGGATTCACTTAAAGCTGCTACACGGAGCATTTCGACATCAATAAATCATTATCGCACATCAGGATAATTACCACGCTGCTCCGTTCCCTCCGAATGCGACAGGGCCGGGGTTAGGAGAGGAAATCTGTTTCACTGCTTTACAGGAGAGGTAGGGGGCGCCACCTTTCTTGAGGCTACGGTGTTTAGATTTTCTGGTGATGGAGGAAAACAGGTGTCTAAAATCATACGCTGACGGTTTCTACGTCTGCTCTCCGTTCTTGAACTTCTGATCTTATCTAGTGGAATGTCAGAGGCCTTGAAAAGTACGACAGAACGACGCTGACATTTGACCACATTCCCTTTGCCTGTTTCCCCTCCAGGGACAGAAACCTGCAGATAGTTCCTCCATTATTTCTGCAGGAAAAGCAAAAACCTGAGACTCTTCCACAAAAACCTGCACTGAGCCACTGGAATCGCTCTTTGACCTTTGACCTCTAATGCAGGGATTCTGTGGCAGGTGTTGACTTGAGTAATTTAAGACTTGAGTAAGCAATAACCTAACAGCAGCTTTAACTCACTTTTCTGCAGTAACCTAGTAAACAATATTTCATATCTGAGTTCTTACTTCTCGCCTCTTATGAAATAGAGCCTCCGAGCTGTGGAGTTTCTCCGTGGAAGCTCTCCAAGCGGCTCATAACTCCTCGGCTCCTCGCGGGTCGCCGCTGTAGCCGAGGCTAACACACTATGGCTTCTTCACTGAGGAATGCTGCGGTTTGCTTTCAGCTTCCTCGCGCTCTGGCCAAAAAACCCAGCGACTGTCCTTATTGTGAGTTATCGTGTCGCACAAGCTCACTGGGCCGATTGTCTGCTGCAGACAGACTGGTAAACACTTGTCAGAGATAAACATATTCTCACTCGGAGCAAAAACTCAATTAAGTGAGTCAGTCGATGGAATAAAACCATTTGCAAGCTTTTTGTTTTTATAAACAATTAATCAAGTACTTTTTTTTTATGTAAAAATATTTGCTAATATGTTTTTAATTACAGAATGTGATAATGAAGCAAATATGTAAATTTAATTTATGGACCAAATATGTAATCAACTGATTAACCCTCTGAACTCAAAACAGTTCCTAGATTTTATTTTATTTTTTCCTGCTCCTGTCACATTTTTACTCACTGTAGGCTCATTTTTACTGTCATATAAAGTCCTGGACACAAGTACAGAGAACTCACAATGTCTTTTGTGGATTATAATTTTTAACAAGTTTTACTGTTTTGTTTTTTTTGTTGTGAAATTTTGTTGCGCGACTGTTGGTTGCAGCTCAGTCGCTAATGGCACAGAATTTTTGCCTTTTACAGAAGTTGGTTCATGCAACTGGCTTATTTTGGGTGATTTTGTACACGAGACGTGTTAAGTAACGATAAAATACCACAATTTTAAGCTCGTACTTGGTTCACGGAATGGTACGCCACAGAAGAGTAGTTCAAAGGTTGTCCGAAATCCAGCAATTTTCTGTTTTGTTTTGTTTTTTTTTTACAATTTCTAGCTAATAAATGGTGTCATTTGCGATTATTTTCAAAATTAACATGCGCTTTAAAGGCACCAATGGGTCTTGGGGCTCAGAGGGTTAATCAGAAGAGTTGTATTATTATTATTATCTATTTTGCACAAGCGAACCAAGATGTACGTTTACTGCTGAAGTATCTAGTATGAGCCACACAATAATTATTGTTTAAAAAAATCAGGTGAATCATGTTATTTTGACATGTAAAGCTTCTGTTAAGCGTCCGCCTTATTTAAAATCTGACTTAAACACACAGTGTGCAGCTTCATCCAATTGGAATCTGTTTAAACAATAAGAAAAGACGCAGTTTGATGACACTGCAAAGTAGCGTGGGATCATTCTTGTAAACCACTGGGAGAGCAATGGAGGGAAGTTTTTAGTACTTTGTTATGTGATTTCATGGCGGTTTGTATCTGATGAAACTAATCTAGCAAACTGTTCTCTTATTTCTACCGATGACGTGTCAATCACAGGTACTTATTTCCCTTTTTTTTAATCACCCAAATTAAGTTTAACACATTTCACAACATTTGGGATGATGCAACACTCGTCTTTTTTTAGATATTTTAATGTGGAAATGTTAACACCTTCAATTGGATTACAGCGTGTAGAATATGATAGTAAAAGGCGGGTCTGCACCAAGATGGTCAACATGCTGAACAGCAGCAGCGTTGCGAGTTGCAGCCGACCAATCAGAATACAGAACACCAGTGTCACAGCGGTAACCCCTCGCTGTCTACTGTGACACAGTAGTTCTCCAAGTTAGCTAATTGCATGATGGCCTTTCACGCCCCTGATCTGCTATTATGGCGTGGCACGGTGTCAGGCGGCGGTCTGAGTGCACGGTTATGGAAGCATGTCATCAGGCTTTGGTTGGGAGCAGGTTTGGTCCTGCTTCAGCTTCGACGCTGCCAACAAGCTTTGAAAGTTCGCCAGCCAAAGCTAGTGTTTGGGTGTAGCTTAAGTACCTGACTGCTCAAAGCAAAAAGCATCAATCTTTCAGTGCGTTCTTTTTCCTCTCTCATACCAGACGTGACTCCCGACACGCTACGACTGAGAAACAGGCGCAAGAAAGTCGACCAGAAATCCACGGTCGGGTCGTCTGTATAATGACGCTCGTTCAAGACGCGTCGTGAATATCAATCCATCCTTCGCATTCCCAGAGAAGAAGTCCAGAAAAGACAGTGGTTAATTACAATAATGGTGTTAAGGAGACTCATCTCTTGCTAATGAGGCGGTAAGGGAGGTTACGTATTAAATGTTGATTGTGTTAAATGAGTTAAGTAGGGTGAAGGCAGCTCGTGGGGTGACGACAGAAAACAAAAAAGGAGGAAAACGGAATTATACAAACAGCTCTTGTATAACAGACGGAGAGGCTCTACGGGAAAACACACCAATGAAGTGATAAGTTCAGGGAAAAAAACGACTGTACATTAAGTTAGTAAGCTGATATGCACATTTTGTAGATTTGGGACTAGTTAACGCTCTGAACACCAAAACACAGCTGGTAGGTTTATAAAGGCTTATTATCTTTTGAAAAAAATCCCCAAAATTAAACCATTTATCAAGTAAAAACTGTACAAACAGAGGAACGTGTCAGACTTTCAGAACTACTTATCTGTGGCATGCAGTCCAAGAAAACGAAGAAATCTAAGGTGAAAATCACAAAATTTCATCAAAATAACTTTTCTTTTTAACGTGTCATTTGAAATTTCTATTGAAAAAAACAGATTCTATTTAAAAAAAATCTAATAAAACTAAAGATTCTGTGCTGTGAGCAACAGTCACGTGACAGAAATTCAGGAACTTTTCAGCCGAACTGCAGGAAGCGTTTCCTCAGATTAGAGAGGAGGCAAGTAATTAGGAATCTAAGTAGCAAATATCTATAGTAGGTTAAATTATACTTCCTTCCCAATAGTGGTCACATCTGTAGACACTTTGAAAAATATTGTATTAGTTAATTCCAGATTGGCTAAATTGTAAAATGTTCTATTTTCGCCATTGTTGTGCTGCTTCCACAGAGGTGCAGGACTTTAAAAGAAAAAAAAAAGGAGCCCAGAAACTGTTTGGAGTTCAGAGGGTTAAGAGTCATATAAACATCCATCATTAGAATTCCCATCTAACGCTCCAAAACAAACCAAAATGAATAAATCCTGTTGGTTAAACAAACGTGTAGATTAATCACAGCGGTGACCGAGTGCGCCACGGCCAACCAGTTTGTCTCGCAGACAGAAAAACACATTTGATTTAGGCATCAAGGCTTTTCCCTTTGACACAGACAGATGCACAATAAAAGGACAAATTATAAATAAAGAGCAATACTTCACAACAACAGTCAGTTTCCTTAGAGCAAAGCTGAACATCAAACTCAGTGAAACTCAGACTGTAACCTGCTGACTCTAAAGGACGATGCCTGCGTTTCCACCTGCAGGGCCATAATGAGGTTTACCAAGCCAGCAATTCACTCGTAATTATTATCATAATGTCAAAAGGAGGAGATTTTTTTCCAAGTATATGCGGAAACCAGGCTGTAAATGGCCTCGTTTAGTCCTGATACGGAAATCCCTGCTTGGCCCTGTTTGACACCAAAATGGGAAGCGCTAGAAAACCCTCCTTGGCACAAAACTGGGAAGCTGTAGGGAACTTTGAAGCGGCATAGGCCTCTAAGTCGAAGGCTCCAGGTTGCCATCTTCGGATAAATCTGTGTTTAACAACCGCTAAAGCCGGGACTCCATGAGGAAAGTGGCATTTAGCACCAATAATGAAAGCCTTGCAAAGCTGCATAATGAAAAACCACCGTAATGCTTGCTTAACCCTCCGAACCTCCGGCGGCAGGTTGGAAAGGGATGAAAAAAGGCAAGAAAATGAAAGAAAAATGACTGAAATAACGCCATTTATCAGAGCTAAAAACAGGAGGGGGGATAACTTCTCAACAAATCATGTTTTCTATCAGGAAGATTAACAAAATCTAAGCTTCACATTGTGATACTTCACCCAAATCACTTTATTCTACATGTCTAAATCAGAAAGTAGCCAAAAATAAACCAGATACAGGAAAAAAATCTGCTCTACTCTGCACAGCCGTGACACTATTTAGATGCTCATGCTCAAAAATTCAGGAACCTCTCAGTTGAACTGCAGGTTGTGTTAACACAAAGCAGAGAGGAGACACGTGTGGAATGGAATCAAAAAATGTAGTAAACGCCATTTAGATTCTATAAAAAGCAAGAAAGTCCACACTTTTCGGTGCAACTGTTGCAAACTCAGCTGAGAGCAACAAAAAATTTGGGGATTTTTTTGGTTGAACTGCAGGCTGTGTTTACACAAAGCTAAGAAAAGACACGTAGGGCGACAAATAAAAGAATGTAGCGGCAGTAAACACTAATGAGATTCTGCAAAAATAACAGCGATACAGGAGTGACTCAGCTGTGAGCAGCAGTACCTTCTGGGCTGAACTGCAGGTTGTGCAGATGGGTATAGAATCTAACCAAAAACCATCTTGTCGTGTTTTTTTCTGCTTCCATAGAGGTGCAGGACTTTATATTGCAGGATAAAAATGAGCCCACAGCGAGTAAAAATGTGACAGGAGCAAAAATAAAAAGCAGTTGGAGGTCAGAGGGTTAAGGACAGTGTCAGCGCTGGGTTTGAGCGCTCTGGTTTATGGGAGCTATGGCTGGGGAACACTGTGGTTGACCCTGCTGGTTCTTTTTTTTTTCCAGCTTCTTTTGGTGCTGTGTGGTAAACCTCTCGTTTGGCCTCGTTGACCCTGTTTGGCCCTGGAGTGGAAAGCAGGCTAGCGGTGGTACTTACCTTGGCCTTGCGCTGTCTGAGGGCACACAGAGACGAGAACGAAGCCCAGCAGGCAGAGACTCAGTCTGACTGAGAGCTGCATCGTGATACGAGCAGAACCGGAGGACACGACACACCTGTGCAGAGAGAGAGGAGGTAGAAGACGCATGAGGTGCAGGCAGGAGGAGAGGAGGTGCAAAAAGAAAGCAGCATAAAGTAGCAAAAAAGGGAGGAGAGGGGTTGCAAAATTGAGGCACTCAGATCTGGGTCAAATTCTGTGGATGCAAGTTGGAGTTAAACCCACAATTTCCTGCAAATACATCCAAACAGGGCCCTGTGATGACATTAACTCTGCAGGATTTGTTCCAATCCATTTCAAATAAAGCTTTCAGGTTGCTTTTGTAAACCAGCCTCCTTTTTTTTTTTTTTTTGCTATAAGGACACAATTTATGGTTCAAGCACATGTTCCTCCAACCCATGCAGCTGCACGGAGCTCGTCCCCTCCTCCCTGCAGAGGACCGAAGGTGCAGCGGGTTGACTCGAGAGGAACAACACGTGGAATACTGATTAAAAACATTTTAACTGCAATCTCAGAAAAGAAAAAGAAAAAAAAAAAGCATCTGTTTCCAACTAATGCTGCAGCCAACTTTTAATTGCATGCAATTTTAATTTATTTGTTGCCATGTCTGACTGCCACAACTTGGCATTTGCACCGTGGCAGGATGAAGGTATTAAAACCAGAGTTATGATGATGGGTCTCCAGAGAGCAGGAGGAGAAAAAAAAAAGAGAGAAAAGAAATGTAAACACCTGATTGTTTTTAAGATTCACATCACCAGCCTCTAAAACAGAATCCTTTTCCTATTTGCATCAACCGGATCAATCAGTAGTCAGGTGGCTGCTACACACAGTAGTAACAATCGGTTGTTGCGCATGAAAACAGCACCACGGTTCACCAAACACGGCGCCGCTGCCAAACCGCTCCGTGCTGACAGTAAATAAAAGCAAGTTTTTTTTTCTCCCCTCCTCTTAATTGGAATCAGCACAGGTGAGAGCCGCCATCAGCAGCAGGAGCAGCACGCGTGGAGCGACGTGGAGAAGGGAAGAAAAAAAAAAAAGGTTCCTCCAAGAGCTGCGTAAAATTTTTGGAGATGTTTTTTTTTTGCGCGCGTAAAGAGCAGCCGTACCTTCTCGGATCAGACGCTTCCAGGCTCCGCTGCTCTCCTCCGGACAGCTGTGCGACGCGCTCACTAGTCCCCCAAAAGCGACTCTGATCTACTCTGTTCACCAACTCTGCTCTGGAGACCTGCAGGCAAGTCTGCCACGATGAGACGCGGCAGCCCCGGTTAGGCGCTTCAAAATAAAATCCCACATCAGCCGGTGCACCCCGCTGAGTCCAGCCCTTCAGGACACACCTGCAGTCACGTCAGCCACAAAAGTAGAAATTAAAAAAAATCCTGCATTTCACAGATTTCTTTTTGTGTTTTTAAATTACCCCAAAATATTGACACATTAAAAAAAAAAAAGTCCACATGTAACATAAAGTACTTTTAAAATGACAACCTATTGTCTATTAAATATACATTTTTCGGTAACATTATATTTGAAAACTTATATTAGACTTGATATGATCTAATTTTAACAGCATGTTAATGTTTTTTGTTTAACAAAGATATTTTTCAAAGGTAAATGCGTTCATTTTTTAGGCGGGCTTGCCTTTTCAAAATAAAAGAAGCCAATGAAGTCAAATTGAAAAGATTTTTAGGTCAACTTGTCGAATGCTCGATAAGATTTAAATTTAAAAGTTCGTTGTCTAATGTATGATCTTTTTTTTGTTTGTTTGTTTTGTTTTGTTTTTTATTTCTTAAGATTTTCTTTAAAGGTAAATGCATTCATTTTGTAGGTGGACATTCCTTTTCAAAATAAAAGACGTCAAAGAGGTCAAATTTACAAGATTTTTAGGTAAACTTATCCAATGCTTGATAAAATCTAAATTTAACAGCTCTTTCTCGTTTTTATAATCTCTTCCTTAAGAATTTTTTGACCATTTTAAAGGGTAAATGCATTCATAAAGCGGTCACATTTCCAAGATTGTTCCATAAACATTTGTGAAACAGCTCATATTATCCTTGACATGATCTAATTTAATCAGTTCGTTAATGTATTTACAATCACAAGTATTTGTTAATTAAAGATAGTTTAACGATTTTTCAAGGATAAAAGCTTTAATTTTATAGGTGGGCAAACATTTTCAAAATAAAAAATGTCAATTTTACAAGATTGTTATGTAAACTTATTTTATTGGTTTAATATTGATCGTTCAACAATCCTCAGAAGCTAAATCCATTCGTTTTATAGGGGGGTATACTTTCAAACTGTTAGATTTACAAGTTTTTTTATGTACATGCTAAATGTAAAAACTGGTGTACAGAAAAAGATCAAAATTGAACAGCTTACTGTTGTACTTATAACCAGAATTATCTGTTTATTAAACATGGTTTGACAGTTTTTCAAGGGTAAACATTTTATAGGTGAGCATACATTTTCAAAATTAAAGACGTCAAATGAACAACATTCTGTAAACTGATCATATGTGAACTACATTTACCAGTTTATTGTTTTAAACAGAATACAAAGCAGGTGCTGAATGGTTTTACTCACTGTGCATCTGCAGCACACTCATTGTTATACTTTTAGGTTATAAATGCACTCAGCAATGTTTTTATTATTTTCCCAACTTTGCCTTTTAATATGTTAATTGTTATAAGTTTCTTATTATATTCTTATTAGCCACAAAAGACCCTAACAAACCCCTTTGTGGCAGGGGGAGCGCTAACGACTCACATAATGAGGTGGAGGAGTAACAACCCCCAATTGAAACTGAAACTCAAGTGTTAATGTCTCCTTAAGGACATAAGTATCTGGAACTCCCAACTAGTCAGTCAGAACTGATGAAGCCTCTTGGATGAAGGTGGAACGTCTTCAAGAAACTCAAGCAAGTTGATGAAGCTACCAGAATAACCATGACCCGAATAACTGAGAATCTTCACAGACATGTTTCTTATTTGTGTGCCTGCATCTTTTATTTTTCTATGATGTAAATGAGATGTCCACACTTGATTGTATTCCGAGTTAAAATAAAGCTTGAATGGAAAATGAGTGAATGGAAAATGTTGTTTGAGAGATTTGTGTTGGTTCTAGCAACATGTTTATCTCAAGACATGATCTGTGGAAGTAAATCAAATATCCATCCATCCAT